GGCTGGGCTATCTTCGAGAAGCCCTCGATAAACCTCCGGTAGTATCCTACTAACCCCAGAAAACTACGAACATCAGCGGCACTTCTTGGCGTATCCCACTTGCTCACTGCCTCGATCTTGCTGGGATCCACCTCAATGCCTCTCGCTGTCACAATGTGGCCAAGGAATGCCACACGATCCAGCCAAAACTCGCACTTCGAGAACTTAGCATACAACTTCTCGTGGCGAAGAGTCTCCAGCACAATCCTCAAATTCTTCTTGTGTTGGTCGATGCTCCGAGAGTAAACCAAGATGTCGTCGATGAACACGATAACAAACTGGTCCAGGAAGGGATGAAAGACCCTATTCATAAGGTCCATAAAAACGGCCGGGGCACTACTGAGTCCGAACGGCATGGCTACGAACTCATAGTGGCCATAAGGGGTACGGAAGGCAGTCTTAGAAATATCCGACTCCCGGATCTTCAGCTGATGATAGCCAGAACGCAAGTCGATCTTCGAAAATACACTGGCTCCCCTCAACTGGTCGAAGAGATCCTCAATGCGAGGAAGGGGATACTTGTTCTTGACTGTAAGGGCATTCAACTCCCGATAGTCAATACACATGCACATCGATCCGTCTTTCTTCTTCACGAATAGGACGGGCGCTCCCCAAGGCGAAACACTCGGACGAATGAAACCAAGATTGAGCAACTCCTGGATCTGGGCCTTGAGCTCTTGAAGCTCCTTAGGCGCCATGCGATAAGGGGCCTTAGAAACAGGGCCGTCTCCTGGTACTAGATCAATGTTAAACTCCACTTGGCGGTCGGGCGGTCCTCCGGGCAATTCATCAGGAAAGACATCGAGATACTCGCAGACGATAGAGACTCTCTCCGGGGACCTCTCAGAATCGTCCTCGGATACCATAGAAACCAGATAGCCTTGACAGCTACCCTTAGAAAGGCTCTTCCTAGCTTGCATAGAAGAGATGACTCGAGGCATGGTCCTCGACTTCACCCCATAGAAAATGACAGGCTGATCGGGAGCGGGGAAGAGACTGACTTCGCGCTCTTGGCACCGGATATCGGCTCGATAGCGAGTGAGCCAATCCATGCCCAAGATTACATCGAAGTCCCGCATTTCAATAACATAGCAATTTGCCTCTAAAACACGTCCACCAATACTGACTGGAAGACTGGAAATCATAGAATCGGAAATAATAATCTTTCTTGAGGCTAGACTAACCTCGAGAGGGTCACAGTTGCACACATTATCAATAGACAGGGCCTCCAAGCCTCGAGAGGAGATAAAGGAATGAGTAGCTCCAGTGTCACATAACGCAAAGATAGACACATTAATAAAAGAAGTCTAGAGTTCAACACTAGAGTTCAACTTTAAAGGTGGATCAGTCCTAACCCCGATTTTATTCCAATAATCAATAATCAAATAATATGCAATAATCTCAAAGTTATTCAGGTACTCATACCTGAGTTGGCGCGGCACGACGAGAGCGAGTGGTCTTAACATGAGTTTGAAACACATAATCACATAATCAACTTTTTATACTTAAACCAGTCTACTGAAACGCAGACTGGCTCTGATACCAAACTGTAACGCCCCACTTTTATTTACCGAAAATCAGAATAAATTTTTCGAATTTATTTCAAAAACAATATTCGAGGCGCTACTCATTTTCAAATCAATAATCAATACTCGACATTTTCTCAATATTCGACAATTATCAATACTCATAATCAATATAAAAATCCCAATAATCAATCAATAATCCAATAATGATCCTAGGGAAATAATCCCTATCAATAATCCAATACTAGAAAAACAATAGTCAATAATAATGCAATAATATCCAAGTTCAATTCAAAGCGGAAGCATTTATTAAAATTAAAGACCACCACTCGCATCCCCTCCGTCGTGCCGCTCTATCTAACCTGCATCCATGAAGAGCAGGTGGGGATGAGCACAATAGGAAACAATAGTGCTCACTGCTATGCCATAAATATTAATATCAATAATCAACAGTAATCAATAATGAAAAGGTATGGTCTTAGCATGTATACGAAGCAATAATCTATCTCATTCTCCCATCAATAATACAATAATCAGACTCATGTTCACACCTACGCATAGACTACTGCTGACTATATATCGAATGCCCTCCGGTCCTACATCGAGTGCCAGCCAGTAGGAGTAAACCACCCCACCGGCCAAGGCCTTGCCTTGGACTTACCAATGAGGATCACCGGCCCAGGGACCTAAGCCCTGGTTTTACGGCTTCTCAAGGGAGACTACCCGAAGGTACGTTCTATAGCTACGGGGACAACCGTCCGGTGGCCGATACAGCTCACACCGAAGGCTACATGATTCACATGCATACTTTGATCATACCACAATTAAAACAGTAATAACATTTAAGGCATAGTAAATTTTACAATTACAACCCACCTGAAAATTTCGGTAGAAAATGGCACACAAAAGCAAGCACGTAGGATGAGGCTCGACTCCTCAAACACCTACATTTAAGCGAGATAATTTATCAATAATTTATCTCACTACTCGAATTTAACATAAAACCCATACTTAATAAAAATTAAGATTTACGGGTTTTAATCGGATTTTTCGTGGACTTGGAACTCTCTCTTTTTTTTGCAAAATAGGTCATGGAAAATTAATTTGGAGTCTCGAACTTTAAAATAATTTTCTCAAATTTTTCCACTTTGAAAATAATTTTAAAAATAAGTTTGGGTCGAAAAAACGGGCTTCAAAACACAAAATAGGCCAAAAAGACCGCACTTGGACGGCTAAACTGCCATTGGGCCAGAATTAATGCCATAATTCACCTCACACAATTATTGGGCTGATCACACAAGGTATTTGGGCCGAAATATGGCCTGGCCCAATGCCTAGAGGCTGCTGGCCAGCTGCGGGCCGCTCACAGGCTCGCGGGCTCGGAGCTGAGAGGAGGCGCGGGCTGGAATCGGGCCACCCGGCCCGCGCACTGGGGTTAACTAATAAACCCAAAAAAAACAGGCAATTTGCAAGGGGCTGCGATCGAACCCACGCCCTCGCACATGCAAAGGAGGAAGGTGACCACTGCACCACACGGCCACATGCTACTTTAGACGCAATAATACAGTACTGAATTAAAACAAACGTCTGTGACTAAAACAGATTGAACAGAGGACAAAGTTGCTGCTAATAACATTCTTAGGAAAATACAAGTTTGCTCGGGACACAAAACGGCAATTACACGGCTCAGAAAACGATAAAACGAGACTCCGTACTTAAAGGATTTTACCACAGCTACATAACGATATACACGTTTAAGAAATCGAAAGTTCCAATCATTCCCGAAAGTCCACGAATAAACGAAATATACACACAAACAATTAAGTGAACCAAAAAAAAAAAAAATCCGACTTCAAATCAACTTTCGGTAAACCGAACACATCATATATAACGTATGATATATGAAATCGATCGCAATAAAGAGAGGGTTCGAATGAGTTACCCGACTTCGGGAAACTACAAGTGATTGAACGGGAAACGGGCCCGACAACGGGTCGGACGAACGGCTTTTGGGACTCGGACAGTAACTCCAACGAACAGGACCCGGGGTGTCTGCTTGTGAGTGGAAGATGATGCTGACGTCAATAACGGCCAGCGAAACGACTGCCGGAGGTCCGGACGAACGGGGTGGACGCGGTGCTCGAACGGGGCTCTCGAGAAGGAGCAACCACGAACGGAGGAGCACGGCTGTGGGTCGTTGGTTCTCGCGGGATGCTGGCCTGGGAAGTCGCAATCGAAGATGGTGGCGATGGGTTGAGGGAATGCCGGAGATGATGGTGATTCGCCGGATGATTTGCAGGTTTGCGATATTTTTTTTTTTTTTTTTTTTTTTNNNTTTTTTTTTGAATTCTGCGAACAGAGAGGGATTGGAGAAGAGGATACCGTTTCCTTGAGTGTTCCAAGGGCGGAACTTCGGTCAGATATAAGTGTAGACGAACGTGCGAGAGATTCTCCCTAAAGAATCGCAACAATCAAAATGTTGGCAGAGGACTCGGTCGAAGAAGAGAGCAGATGAAGAGATAACTCACGTTGGGTGGGAGTTCGACATCTCATGGGCAAAAATAAATCATCTTCTAATTGGGCTAAGGCATAAACATCTCAATTTGGGCCAAAAATCAATAAGGAGTTGGGCCGCGAAATTAATTACATTGGTTAGAAAAGAATGGCAAAAAGGCCGATGAATTAAGTCCCTTCGGGCCGAAATAAAATATACGCGATATAAGAATTCTCGGGATATTTGATCGACGACGAGTAATAAATTAATCCGGAATATCTATATTTATAATACACATCATATTTTAAAATAGTAATAATAATAATAGTAAAAATATGCATTTAGACAGATAATTACAATTTGACAATTAATAATATTTAGACAATTAATATTAATAATAGTAATATTACTAATAACACATAAATAATACCAATTTGACAATTAATAGCAATTATAATAATAATAATAATTATAATGATAATAATAATAATAAAGACAATTTAATAATAGCAATAATCAATAATTACTCCCAAATAATCCACAATAAAACGGGGTATTACACTAACACTAGAAAGCAATAAAATCCTAAACCTACCAAATAACTAATGCTTGGCTTGCACACCAAGCAATTCTAGAATGCTCCCTAATCTTCCACATGCTCAAAATTCTTTCGGCCGCCTTATGTCTGTGTCGCACGCGTCATCCGCGCACAGCCTCTCGCGCTCGCCTAGTCCTCGGTGCCTTAGGACTTGCGCGCCCCTATTGCACGCGGGCGCCTGTGCGTGCGCCCAGCCAGCGCCGCCTTTCCCTTGCGCGTGTATGCCATCGCGCCCCTCGCCTACACCTGCCCGTTTTAGGACGCCCGCGCTTGCCTTCCACGCGTCCGCTCCCGCGCGCGCTTTGCTACCGCCGCCCATGCCTCGCGCGTCCTCGCCACCCACGCGATTGCCGCGCACGCCCAATCCTCCCGCGCTAATCTCGCGCCTGCCTGCCCACTTGCGCGTATCCCAGCTACCGCCCGAGCCCAAATCGCCTATGGCGCCTCTGCGTACACCCGTGCACCAGCCAACCATGCGCCCGCGTACTCCCCAAAAACCCCGCATGCACGGCTCGTTTGCCCACTTGTGTGCATCAAGTGCCGATGCACACCTTTTGCCTTTTAGCCCCTCACTAGACTTGCCGGTCACTAACTCCACTTCCGTATCACGGTCGTCCCACGTGCGCGCTGTCCACCCAACATCCTCCCCTCGTGCACCGATCGTCTCCCGCGAAAAGTAAACGTCCGAGACCTTAGCCTCCAAGCATCGTGCGCGTCGCTTCCTCGCACACACCTTGCGCCATTCGACCACGCCGCTCAAGCCTTCAAGCCTCAAACTCTTGAGCTTCTTGCTCGACCTCCTATGCCATTGTGCACGTCTGTACCCTCGTATACGTGCTCGTGTACGTCTCCTAGGCCATGCAAGCCTCGTTTGCGCTCTTTGCTTGGCCTTGTCCATTAGCCTCGGCCCTCGGCCTTTCTCATCATCGAGGGTCAAAACCCACTTCCGTATCATTCCCGCCCCCTTTAAGAATGTCCTTGTCCTCAAGGACTTGTCATCGACCATTAATTGGGGCGTCATCACCTCGACCACAACATCTTCTTTGGACTCGACCCAAATTCCTTCAACCTCGACAAAGTACTCATCGGGGTATACATCGAAAATAGGCGGTCCTTCATAACCCGTTGACTCCTTTACGTACTCGTCGACCTTTGGGTCCTTAAAATATTTTGAGAATTCGAACAAAAGGATAGGCTCCTTACACTTTGCATCGTCCCGGCCTTCTTTGTCGGACTCGCCTAGTACGTGGTTGGATGCTCTAACCAACTCGCGTATCTCGGATTGCTGCTGCTCGATCGTCCAAATCTCAGGCACCTCGCCTTCGACCTCAGTTTCCTTTATCTCAGCTTCCTCGACTACTTCGTCGTCCATGAGTTCATCCTCGGGGTACACGTCAAAGATAGGTGGGCCATCATATTCCGTCAATACATTCTCGACCATGCTCGCGTATGCGCCTACTTCCTCGACGGTAAAAATCTGACCGCCCCCATGCCAGACCCGCTCAATACTCTTGAGACCAAACTCCTTGGCTCTGCTATCTTTGCTTGCTTTTAACGTGACCCGGTGCTCTCCTGAGTCGAACTCCATGACTCCCATCCGGTAGTCGGTGGTCACCTTTCCTAAACCTTCGAGCCATTGTACTCCTAACACAACGTCGGGTCCAACCAAGGGTAGCGCATAGAGATCGGCTTTGATGGTTACTCCTTGAAATTTGATCGGCACCCTGCGATAAGACTCGGTGCACCTTAGCCGTTCACCATTGGCTACTCGAACCTCGAATGGCTCTACCTTTGTTGTTGGCAACTTCAGTTTCTGAGATAGATCGGCATTGATGTGCGATGATCCGTTGTCCACTAGCACGACTACACGGCGGTCCTTGACCAACGCCGGCAGCCGCATCTTCGTCGGTCCTCTTGTACCAGCCATCGCATGCATCGAGATTTCGGCCTCCTCTTCGGGAACCCCAATCTCGACTTCTTGCTCCCAATCCTTCTCGACCTCGGGCTCATCCTCATTCGGGTCTATAACGTGGATGACAAAAGCCTGCTTGCATTGATGACCAGGCGTAAATCTTTCTTCGCATTTAAAACATAGCCCTTTCTCACGTCGGCGTCTTATCTCCTCGAGCGTCAAGTGCTTGACTGGCGGTCGTGTGCTATTAGTCGGTCGAGAGTTGTCAGGTGGTCGGCCGCTCAGAACCATATCGCTTGCATACGGTTGTGCGCGTCGTGTTTCGGGATAGCGTACGTCTGCCCGTCCCCTTCGAGTTGCCACAAGATGATCTTCTCAGCGTCGGGCCACTTCCATGGTCGCATGCATGGATTTCGGTCGCTCTAAGCGAACCTCCGTGGCTAGATCATACTTCAGCCCACCAATAAAGGTTCCAACCAACGCAGTCTCGGGCCAGCCTCGTACGCGACATGCCAATCTGTAACGCCCCACTTTTATTTTGACGAAAGTCAAAAGTCAACTTAAATTTTTCAGATTTCTTTTCATAAATCAGTGGCGCTACTCGAACTAAATCACATAAATAACGTAAATCATAAATCAAATGTTTTCTTAAATCCCAAGTTCATCCAAATTGTTCATAAGGGAACATCTCCCAATCCAAAGTTCTCAAAATTCCAAAGTCATAAATCATAAATACCCAAGTTCCCAAGTCATAAATAAGCAATAATAAACCCAAGTCTACTAGCATGCGGAATAAACCAAATGAAGTCAGTCAAAGACCAACACCACTCGTCTCTGTCTCGTCAGCCAACACCTGCTTAACCTGCATCCATGAAGAGCAGGTGGGAGTGAGCACGGTGAACTGTAGTGCTCACTACTATGCACATGAATAATAATATAGTACGAAAAATTAAATGGCATGGTCGCAGTATGAACATAGTTAATAAATATCCCATCTCCTAACCAAAGTAATTCTCATGTGCACACCTATAACAATAGACTGCTGCTCGTATGCCTTTCGGCGAACATAAATGGGGTGCCCAAACAGCAGG